AATTGAAGGCCACACTAAGAGTTTTCCTCTTTTTGTAGAAGTTTTGGAATAAATTTTGCTTTATAAGAATAAAAAAATATGTTTGCCAATAAATGGACACAAAAAGTACTAAGTAAAATTCCAACAGGTTGTTAAAAGTCTGAGTCTCCTAAGAAGCCATTTTTTAATATCAACTTATGAGTACTCGTGTGTAGAAAACATTTTTATTGTCAAAATTGTCTCTGACTTCATTTAATATCAAGAAACAGTAGAATACTTCAATATTACTTTACTAATAAACAAGCTATGTAAGGTCTAGGTTCTTTTACGTGCGTAATAGGTTTGTCATCGTAAAAAAAAAAGTTGTGTATCATGACAAACTTGTCCAACTAAAGGCCTGCAGCATTTCAAAAGAAAAGAATTTCACAGTGAATTTTTTTATTTACCTCGGCAAAAGTCAAAAGCAAAATCGTCACACAAAATTATGTATCTTAGCAGAGTTTTAGTTGTATACAAAGTCGCGTTGAAATCTTATTGAAGTCAGACCAAAACTGAAGTAGGAGTAGTACTTTGAAAGAATTTCACAAAATTTTTATTTTTATTAACCATATACCCCATTCATACGACACGATTTGCATACTTTAGTATATTTTACACATTTGTTAATTTACTTACATGTGCAATTTTTGTCGTATGAACTGATTTGCTCATATGTAAATTCTGCACAGTTGAGTTAATTTGCACCTGGTCAGGACAAGGTGCAAATTAACTTTTGCATACATGTTGTCGCAAATTATTTTCTTCCTGTGTGTACATTTTGTCGTATGAACATGCAGCAAATTTACTTATGTAAGTTTTTCGTCATTTTAAGTATTACTACTGTTGTGTACGCATTGGCATGTAAAATATCAGTCGGTAACATGGCGGCTAGAAAGTAAAGCTCTAAAAATGCGTTTTTTCGATGGTCATTCTTGCTCTACTTAAACTATAGCTGAAAATGAATGTAGTTTTTATAAGGGTAGATCTGTTGGTGTATGGCTTCAAAAGCCAAGTCTTCTAAGGATACGCTGGGTCGTCGAGAAGAACTACTGTCTAGCATAGTACTTTCTCCAAATTGCTTTCTCCACACTGAAAACAAGGAGCCATAATCTCCTCTGAAATTAATTTTTGAATTTGCAAAAAAAGCGGGCATTATGAATCCTTCCTGGCAAACCCATTTTTATGTCTAGGTATAGCTGTGGTCGCAAACAACCTGCAGATTCAATAAGTAGAACCCCTTCCTGTTCAAGTAGTCTCCATGTGAATCGTACATCAGTTTAGCACTTGATGACTTTCTTCTAATCATCCTTATCAGTTTTAAACCGAGGCAGGCTACTGACAGATAAGTTGATGTTATAGGGATGTCAACAACCTCGTTTAAAGTCAGTATTTTGTAAATATTTTGTATGAAGTATTTCCCTTCCAGTTATTTCCCCTGGCCACCATCTTGGGGGTCAAACTAGTAAATTTTCCTCTTTGACCAACCAAATTTAAACTTGTACGGCAGAAATTTATGAGCACGAATCTTAAAATTGTAAACTTATGAATTAAAGGAACCTTTTGTTAACACATTTTCATAAGAAAAACTGTTTACTTTGCCTCATTGTATAGTATGACAAGTTTAAATTGGTTGAGTAATGAAGGAATCTGGGCTTGTTGACTTCCAATATTCCGACGGAATCTATGGTGACTATAATTGTATTGTTAGCAAATATAGCCTATCTCGGGGTCATATTTTGGCTGCGCAGGTATGTTAAGGCAGTACCCAGATCATATTTCGGCGAATTTAGACTTTTTTCGTAAAATGTAACATTGATAAATCGGGAAAGTCATAGATAAAACATTTACTATTATTATCCATTGTATAGATATCATTGAGTCTTAGGCTAAAAGAAGCACTCCACTATGACGTCATCACGTGACGTCTATAAATAGAAAAATTGCCTTAATGAAAAAGTGAAAAGTTCAACACTACCCCGGAGCTAATTCATTTCTTTTAGTGAAAATAATTATGTAAAAACATCACTGGGCCATGAAAAGTGCTGCTAGAATCTTACTCTCCCGACACAGAAAAAAATATTCCAAAGTTTCACATGAAACCTTACCAAAATTTTTACATTTGATACATACGATCAAGGAATTGTTATCAATTCATGTTAACCACACGATTCTAGCGGTACTTTCCAAGTACTATAGAATACAAGCTTTCGATACAAACAAAAAATTTTGTTTCAAAGTATGCGGCGTAGTGTTGAACTTTTGTATCTTTGTTGTTATAGAACGACAGAGGAAAGGCTGATCAGGATTTCAAAGTACTGCCTGTGTTCATTATAAGAAAACATGATAAGAATATATCAGCGTACTTGATTCTTAATCTTTAATTCCTTATGAATCACACATAACATTCACGGTATATGCTTTAAAACTCCCATTCCATCTATTTGTTTACATGAATTTCTCGTCACGTTTAATTTCCCTCGGCAAATATTTGATCAATAGTTATGACGTCATGGGTTTGGTATTTAACCCCCGTGCTAAATACTTAGCTAATTATACCACCCCAAAAAGACAAGATTTAGTTTGTATTATGTTTTGAATGATTCCATTCATTTCTTTGCCCTGAAATTAAACTTCAAATATAGATATTAAGAAATCATTATTTCTAAAGTTCACGTCATACAGCTTACTATGACGTCATATTGTAAAGGCAAGTAGGATATCTCTGGGTGTAGCCTTAACATACCCGCGTGACTTGTTTCATAAAACTTGTTAGGACTTTGTTTTTTACTAATTTGACTATGGAATGTTCCGTCTACCTAATCATTACATAGGTCTCACGGCGGGTGTGACCGGTCGACAGGGGATGCTTACTCCTCCTAGGCACCTGATCCCACCTCTGGTATTACCAGGGGTCCGTGTTTATTCCCTCATCACATATTTGTATTGTTGAAAGATTTTTGAGATCGATCACAGTTTTTTATCTTCACCATTTTCATTTCCTTCTGGAAAATACACATATTCTTCAAGCATATGTTCCATAATGGCCTCGCAAACATGATGTTCGCAATCAAACACGGTAGACTTCCCAACACTTAAAAGATTTCCAATCGTCCTTTTTTTTCGCTGAAGACGCTAACCAGTAGAGGGTAGCAGCCACCTTTTTCCTTATATCCAACGGCTCTTCTACAGTCTTTGGGCAGGGACCAAAGCATTTTCCAACTTTTCACAAAATTTTCCTTCTTTTTTCGAAAATTCTCATACCAATCTTCGTCCTTAAAGTTGTTAAAAACGGTTCGGTCTGCCAATCAATGGATCTGTCTTTTCCTCTAGTTTACTTCTGGGACATCTAAAAGTTAGTCCTATACCCAAATAGTAAGGAAATACCCCTTTTCTGTGAAAATTCACTATTCTGAATCTGTCTATCTCCTTTATTTAATGACAATATGAGGGTTTACTTACAGTACATAAATCTCGTCTGAACGCATAGCAAATTAACTTCTACTTATGTGTGTAAATTAACTCATATGTAAATTTGCCCATATAAGTAAATTTTCGTCGTATGAATGGGGTAATAGAAAAACTGTCGTTATCAGAATCCGATACAGAGAATTATGTACTTTTAAAGTATACTCTACTCATATAGAGAGACTTATTGAAATCGGATCAAGTGTGTAGAATAAGCGGCAATTTGAAAAAAAAAAATGCTTACAGACGGACAGTCAGCTAGACATTTGAACGGTCGGCGGAGACCTTACTAATGCATGAGCTCATCTTTAATAGTAGAACTAAGAAGTATACACATAAATTGTGACTCAAAATACCGGTAAGTATCATAAAATGTAAAAAGAAATGTCTCCTGGTCGGTCTCTGTGTAACTGTTTATTTTATTGAAAATACTTTAAAATGTGCATTGCAGCCACCTACAAAAGGATGCGTGCAGGCTTGAGAACCATGATTTATATGAATTGATTCTCTGCAGCTTTGTAGCTCACTAGTCGGAAAAAAGAAAAGGATGGACGACTTAAAATGATCAAATGAAATATGTAGATAACGAACAGTATTCAAGTTCATTCAAACACTGCATGATATTAGGTTAACATTTTTTGGTACAAATTATATGACACTATTTCTTCAATAAATAAAGATAAACTCAGTTTCTCCCTTTTCCGGGCCGTCTTTGGGTGCATTGACACAAAGAGATAAAATAGTTTTACCAAGAACTCTTTGCTTAGCCTAATTGAACGTTTTGACATCTTAACTGTGAAATATTAAGAGTGACATTTTTAAATCTATATATGGAGTATCTGAGCTAAAAAAATAAAAATACGAGATTGAGTGTATATAAACATTATACATGTATATGTTTTTTTTTACGTTCAAATTAAAATTTTCACCGATTTTGAACTTGAATAACCTCATGTTTCTGTAGTTATATTGACTTTTAAGTGGCTGTTATTTAAATGCGGAGTCGGTAAATAAATCGGTTATTGTTTTAAATTTCTAATATCTTTGAAACGTGATTGATTTTAATTTGTAATTTACAGGAAAGACCTTTCTTTATATAAAGTAATAAAACAAATAGAAAGATATTTTTTAATTTTAGTTAGTCTGAACTTATAAAAAATACGCCAAATATGACTTTAAAGTTCCACTTTCATTTACATACATCCTTTGTTTGAATTTAAAATTATTTAAAAAAAAATAATTTTGCGATGCAATTATAATATTGATTAATGATTATAAAAGGTCAAATTGTCTCATTTATAAATCTTTACGTACTTTTAAATGAAATGGTTTATTTGCAATAACTGTGATTCAGGTATATTCTCTTATCCAATCTTTATATATTTTATTGATTTCAATAAATGAATAAAACATTTAAAGAAGCACATATTTTGGTATTCTAAACGAATGTATGAATTCTTATCAAATACTAAACTCAATTTCAGTTACTCAGCGGGTATTGCTACGCAGTTTAATAAGCTTGTTGAAAACTTCAAGCTAATAAAATGGATCTCATAAAAGTTTTATTACAGATTTTTGCCTTGTATTCTAGTACAATCCTGGCAGATAACTGTTCTGTTGAACCAGAATGCCATGTGTTTCACTGGAAAGAATGGGGTTCGTGTGCTGGTGTCTGTGGCTCACAGTCGCAAGGAAGAGAGCGCAAAATGTGCTGTTCTTATTCTGTTAGTCCTCGTACCGTAGAAAATTGCCTGAAACACTGTAACCTGTCTTTGAATTTTGAATTAAATCAGTCTAAACCATGCAGAGTATGCGAAAATGGTGGGACATTGGACTTTTCATCTCTATCGTGCAAATGTGATCAACATTATAAGAACATATGTTGCCAAGGTAGGAGACAATTCAATGTTATTTTTCTTTTCATATATTGTGAAATTCGATACAAGAGTATAATTATATTTTTATCACATGCAGAAATGTAACTACCATCAAAGGTTTAGTTTTGTTTTGGTTAACGTTAGTGCAAAAGATACGAGTCTGACTTACGAGTTTGACTTACATGTATTCCTGTCTCTTCATGTGGAAAATAGGGCCATGGAGAAGTCTTTTCTATTGCGATTTCTTTGTGGCGGCTTCAGCCCGAAATACTAAATTGTGTCCTTTCACCTTCGACAGTTTTACATTATACTTGAATCTTCTTGGCCATCGTTGATTCCTTTGCTTGATTCTTTTTTCAGGTATTATTGGCAGTATCTACTCTTGTTAGCACATGTTCTATCAATTTCCATCTGTTTTTTTTCATGTTTCCTAATGACTGAAGAACATATAAAGTAATGTTCCTTATAAAGAGGGTGTTGCAGTTCTTTTGTTATTTTCCCTAAAGTTGTAGCAGTTTAAAAGAAAAATTTCAAGTAACAGAAAACGGTCTTAAATTTTTTCAGATACAACGGTATTTACAGCACAATGTAGAACAATATTTAGAAACTGCATATCTACTACCAATTTGCCATTAAATGAAGTGTAAATTAGCCACTTAGCAAAATAAGTCAAGTTTTCTGTTTTTCAAGTAGGGAATCCCCATTGTACTGAAAAACTGCCTCCTTGAAACAGAATGAATTTGATATACGCATAAAGAGACAGGATTTTTCTTCAAAACTGCCATTTCCGATTTTTGTTTCAAAGAGGCATATTTTTGAAAATCACAAAAATCGAATAAAAATTAATATCCATCCGAAATGGAAAATGTGCACATAAAATAGCACATGATACTTCAGTGTCGGAGCTGGTCTAGTGGTAAAGCGTGTGGACTCTTTGCGAAGATTCTTTTACCTGAGAATGGGTTCGAATCCTGGAATGGCTGGTATATACATGTTTTTTTCCTTAAATAATGGAAGTACAATGTAACATCTCTCTTGAGAGAGAAAGAGAGGGGGAGATGTCGTAAAGTTAATGAGTAATATTTTAAATGCATGCAGAATTAAATTGTTTTCCTTGATATTGTGATCTAAATCAAATAAGACATACATTTAGTGGCGATGTCTTAAAAAAAATAAAGTACTATCATTTTGAATAATTTAATTTTTTCATACTCATTTCGTTTCATTTTTGGGAGTTGAACTATGTTCAATCTCCCTTGGTCATCACGGGCTTTCTATGCGCAGTAATTTGTATTGATTATATAGTGGCCGTCCGTGGGGCTTCTGTGTCGACCAATTTACTCCTGTGATATTCAATGTAAACTTGCATAAACGTCCGCCATAAAATAGTCCATTTCAATTTTCTGAATTTATCTAATTTTGGTAAATGATATGAAACTAAATGCAATTGAATTTCATTTAACTTAATTTGAATACTATATTTTGATTAAATTAAAATTGATTTATACAGAACTAAAAAAAATGTTGAAAATTGTCGCCACGAACCATAAACAATGAGAGGGAAATTAACGACAACTCTGCACATGTGACTATATGACTGCGCGAAACCTCTTTGCATTGACTGACGCGTGGTAAAAATTATTTCACAATCAATGTTATACCTTTTTTTTTTTAGCCATAAATATTCGAAGTTTTCAACAATATTTATTTGGTAATACAATAAACATCAAAAGAATAAACAAATTACATTGATTTGGATATAAATGAACAATTGTTCGTTTAATATTGAAACCTAATACGTTTAACATCGAAGAGGAAGAAAATCGAAGAGTAGGTGATTAACGTACACGGAAAGGTGAAATTTTAAGATAAATTACTAGATTAAGCTTTTTGAGTTTTCAAGTTGTTTTCATGTGGCATAAAATTTATACGCATTTCACATATGAAATTCTTGATAAAATAAGTCGGAACAGCCAGGTCTGACTTTCGAACTACATGTACGTATGTAAATTTTAAGTGGGAAAAACAACAAATTATAACCGTTTACGTTAGATCATATAACAAGCTGAAACTTTTGTTATTGTTATTTTTCAAACTTCCAAACAATTAATAGTCATGTGAGGAAGGAAATAAACCATGGCAAAATCTTGCAAATATTTCAACTATGCTTCTAAGTATATTAGGACAGATACAAATGTAAAGTCTATACAACTGTAAATGAATTTACTGTGCAGTGATTTTCGGAGCAGAGTTGTCAAAATTTTTGAATCAATGTCAGACATTTGGTTAGACTGGACAAAGTTTTGTCAGACCAGATTCATGCATCTTATTTTGTACGCTGAATCGCTGATAAAGGGAAAAAATAAGATGCCTTTTAAGTTTTATGATATTCGATCTCACAAAAAAATCCTATCTTATGATACAGAGTCTCTAATCAGAGACATGCTTTAACAATTTTGATCGACAATCGTCACCATACGGACGATTTCGGTGTTTTGTGGTCCTTACCTAGGCACAGCGTTTTAGAAATTTGCATCACGTTCAGTGTTTTAAACGGTCGTTTGGACCACTGTTTTCTTGTACGTTATCGGTCCAGAAAATACCTTACCGACCTTGCCGACAAGACTGAGTGTTTTTGATAAATCTGCAGATAAGAATTACTTATAAAGAAAGAAGTAAATGTGTGACAATTTCAGATGACATAAATTTTTAATCCTTAATTTCATGAATTTATCAGCATTCAGTGGGTCACTTGTACAACACTAGTACATGTACTGAACTTGAAAAATGTGTGTTACATTAATTAATGCATTTCAACATGTCTGCATATAAAAGTGTATTGCAGTAGTACGTTATCATTAAAAAATGTTTCATTTGATTTTATTAATAAAAACAATTAAAATGAATGAATGCATGCGTGTGAGAACGCAATGGCTTATTAAGACCAGTGATCGATATGCGAGAAAGATCGATCCTCATAATTACAACAGTTTCATTTCTTGCAGTAGCTCGTTAAACTACATCTGATTTTTAAAAAAAAAAAAAATCAAAACAGATTCAAGTCGATCGTTTCAATTCATTGAAACTTTGAAAAACTTGTCCAGCTCAGCTACATGTACATAGTATACCTGAAATTCAATTACACTGAAATTTGTATCAAATCAAAATCACAAATAGTAAAAGTCACTCGCGTCGCACAGTTGTTCAAAATCGTTTGCTCTAGAGATTCAAAGTAAGGTGTTAATCATTACGTCGTGGGTTCGAATCCCACTGCGGTATGCATTTAGAAACGGAGCCTTCGGATGAGACCGTATAAACCGAGATCCCATTTCGCAGTAGGTACTGGCACCCCCAAAAAAATCCTTCCCTGCTCAATGGTTCTGAATGTCCTGTATAGGTAAAAATTTGCAGCCCTAGCCTCCATTGGCAAGTGGTAATGTCTCTTTATGATTAAAAATTCTCGAAGAGATGTAAAACAAACAAACAAAAGGCAAAGTATTCAGAGATACTTACTTCTATAAAAAAAATTTCTTGACATGAAATTAAAAATTATGGGATTTAAAAAAAATACATAATGATTGAGTTATAAAGATAAAACATTTTGATAGAAAAATTAAATGCAAAAATTCTATAAAAATTAATTATTGTGTCCGAAAAGAATCAGTTATACCCAAATGATAATATCAACTACTTATTCCAATCAGAGGAAGAAAAAAATGACAATTTAGTGATGGTAACATTGAAAATAAAAAGTGCGTGTTTGGTTGTTGACACCAAGGATCTTGTACATATTCAGAAGAGAGTAGGGAGGGTCTTGTACTTCAAATGCTTTCATAGATATATTTAAACAAGTATATTGATGTTAGAAAAATTAAAGAAAGGAGTCCAGCATCGTCGCAAGCCACGGGTTTTGTGTCCATTCTATTTCCACAAACCCGTGGCTGCCTCCTACCAAATTCTCTCGTTCTCGCGACTGAATCATTGAATATTTATTAAGTGACGCCATATTTACTTGACCAATGAAATCACTCTGTAGCAATTTTTGGTACGCTTAAATGGCGGCGCCCATAATGAAATCATGTTTGCTATGCGTGGCAGATTTATTGAAAAAAAATACGATAGATCCTGAAAAACAGGTGAGTAACTTATATTCTAAAATACTTACAAGGTTTTACATTAAAATACAGGGTTTCGAATGTAGACGTTGTGTGAGAACGCTGAATAGCGTTACTCGTTAAGAAAGGAAATTCGAACCGAAGTTGATGTACAGCTCGTGGTTATGGTTACATCCAAATACAAGATTAGACTGATCATTTTCATTGGTTCTGACTTGAAGCGTCAGATGTTATTCCATTGATTGAATGTATGTTATTAATATTCATGAGAACGAGAGAAATTTGTAGGAGACAGCCACGGGTTTGTGGAAATAGAATGGACACAAAACCCGTGGCTTGCGACGATGGGAGTCCAGAAGATAAGGATTTTATTTTAAGAAATTTGGATAAGCTGTATCAACATGTCCGTCAATATTTTACCCATTCATATATTACATCCAAATGGCTTAAAAAGTTTCGTTTATTTTGAGAGAACTTTGCTGCAATAGAACTATTAGAATGCAAACTATTCAAAGTTGTGTGGATTCAGTTTGCTTAACAATTTATCCTTAAAATTATATGCTAAAGTACTTATATAAATATGAATGTTAAACATCATGTATTTGGGAATTGAAATTATTTGTCTTTCGGATCATACATTCACACTTTAGGTTTGAAAACAGCTCAGGTGGATCGAAAATGAATTTCAAACTAGAATTTCAATCCAATGTTTTCTCGGACGTCCGTGTTGAATTGTACCCGCCCATTTCATTGTCTCTCATTAAACATTCTGATTGTGACAGAATGATGGAAATTTAAATGACGTAAGCTGCATATTTCTAATTTCGCCAGTTAATGTTCTGCACTCTTATATTATATGGATTCTATGTGAGAATTGGCTAAAAATTAATTTGGTATATTTAATGAATTAAATAAATTGGGATTTAAGTTGAATGTATGTGTACAGGGAAAAAAATCTTCATAATTGCAAGACATTGTTATTAATATTGTGTAGATTTAGAGACCCCTCAGAGTTTGATATCGCCATTTTAATTTATGCTGACATATTTTTTTTCATGACAGGCACGTAGCATAGGGGGAGGGGGGAGGGGTCTGCCTTTTTTCCAAACATGAAATTTATAAAAATTTAATATTGTAAATGGTCATTGAAAGTCCGTCCCCCTACTGTTTGTTGCAGAATATTCAAATAGGAGTGATGTAGTAGTGTATGAGTAAAATTTGATACTGAAAGAAGTTTGAAACCTATCCCCACACCCAAAAAATAGAATTTTCGAGTTAGAATTTTCGAGGCCCCCCTTTCAAAAATGATGCTACGTCCCTGCATGGGAATATTAAGTGGTAAAAGTTTTTGAAAATCTGAATAAGAACAACACGGTTAAAGTCATTAAAGGTACTCAGGTGAGTATTGTGGCCCATGAGCTTCGTTATTCAAATGTTTTTGAAATTATTTCTTATGTTTGATGTTGTATCTCTATCAAATCTGCAATAGTTGACTTGTATCTAAAGCATGAAAAAATGTTCCGACATTATAGCTCCTTTACTTCCTGTTAAATCTACCGTTCACAGTAGCTCAGTCGGTAGAGCGCTCGCTTCGTGATCGGGAGGTCGTGAGTTCGAATCTCGGCCGCGACTGACCTAAGTCGATAAAAAATGGGTAGCAACTGTTCCTCCGCCATGCGCTCGGCACTTTGAAGTGAAAGTTGCGGGTCCTCCGGATGAGACCTTAAAAACCGAGGCCCCGTGTCACGGCAGGCGTTGGCACGATAAAGATCCCTCACTGCTCCTCAATGACCCTGAGTGCCAAGTAAAGGTCAAAATTTGAAGCCCTTCACCGGTATATGGTGACGTCTCTATATGAGTGAAAAATTCTCGAATGGGACGTAAAACAACATACAATCAATCAATCCTGTTAAATCTTTCACATTACAATGTTCAACTCCCATGAGTACTTTCAGTACTTTGATTGTTCTGTTAATTAGTTGCTCAGATTTGACTTGAAACAACTAAATTGAAATGACTCAATGGAATTTTTTGGATATTGCATCAACAGCGTGATTATTGGACACATTTTTATATACATATTAAAATATTAACGCATGCTGTCTACAGCACATCTTTCAAAATGATGTGCGAGATGCACTTGCCATTAATTGTGCATTTTATCGTTCTAACTTTTCGCGTGCAATATAGCGATAGTGACCATAGATGTGAAAAAAAAGTTTACTATCAGGTCGCCAGTCTATAGGATAGGATAATCGGATAAATCAACAAGATAGGAAACACTATGCATGAAATAAACGTAAAATATGAAATGTTTTGTTAAAACAAGCTGGACATACCCGCCGTATAAATAAAGTCATCTACGTAGCATTATCTATATTTAGAGATAACTCTTCATGCGTCGTGGTATTTAAAAGTCCTTCTCAGTATAGAGAATAATCACGAGTTTCTGCAACACCCTCTTTAATCTATAAATTAGAATTATAATTTAAGGATTGAAAAATCGAGAAAAATATCAAGAAGCATGCCTTTTCACTCCTTCATTCAATCTTTATTTCCTCTATTGGGAGATTTGAGAAGCAAAACAACAATTTTTATTACATAGTTACATCAACGAATAAAAAATGCAGTTTGTACATTCTACACATAATTTCTCAGACCAGAGGTTATCATGTTTCCATAAGAAACATCAAATAATAAGAAGTTTTTGTTTAAAAATAGGAAGTTTTGTTTAAAAGTATCTGTAGAGGATAGACGAGGTAAGATATTGCAAGCATTTACACATTAAGCATTCCAGGACTCAACAGTGATTTTATTTATTATATCATTTACGCCTAAAGAAAGACATGATGGGCAGGCTGAAAAATGACGCTGTGTTTTAACAGTAAAAATAATTTCACAAAGTGACCAATAACTTCTAGGATCCTCTTATGGACTGCCTTACTGATCTCCAATTTAATTTAAATATAGACTCGTGCAAAAAAACCCACTATCAATGATCAGGCTCAGGGACCATAAAACTTAGACGAGCTCACTTTTGATCTCAGTCTCACTTTTGCAAAAGGAATATTGTGGTGTTGAAGACTGAGACTTTAACCATAATCAGACTTTCCCCCGGAAGTCTGGCTTTAGAGTGAACTTCCCCCGATATCTGGCTTCTGGATCTAGAGTGACCCCAGGAGAAGTTTCACGCTTGAGCCACACTTCCTTGCAGGAGGACCTGCTCTACTACTAGTTGTAAAGTGAGGCTTCCCCCTTGGGTAGATGTAATCTCCTTTGATACTTTTGGGGGGGGGGGGGGGAGTATGAGTCTGGAGGGAAGTTATGGCTCTAATGTTAAGACTATATATATATACGAAAAAACGACCAATTCTGCGACGACACGAACAATAGGAATCGTCAATTTTTTTGGATGCCCTGTCCATGCAGTTTCTTCCCCAGGACAAAGAAAAGTTTCGGAAGTCATCAAAACAAAGGCATTAGAAAAAAAATTGGCACTACAACTAAACATTTAAACCCTGTTTATTTACATTGCATTATGTTAAAGGGGCCTAGACACAGTTGACTATAACTTTGTAATTATGGAGAATCATTCGAAGCTCATATACTTGGTGCAAAGATTATTTATGACCTAAGGGTGTGTTATAACCTTGACCCAAGTTCATTGTGACAAATTCAAGGTAACTGGTATAAAAAATGTAAAATTCTAGAGAGGTCTAGAATTTTCCAATGGAGAAGCATTGGAAGCCTATTGTCGATTTGTTTGTTTGTTTAGTCAAGATATTTCAGCAAGTTCAAGACCACACTAACAAAACTTGAATGGGCACTTTATAAATATGCAGCAAGGGGTTATCATTTTGTGAGCTTGCTCACAGTACCTGTAATAACAAATTTCAATTGAATTTGTAGATCTGGTGACATGTCAGGATCATCCCTGTAAAGGCGGGAACTGTACTGATACCAATGGTACATTTACCTGTAACTGTGAAAGGGAGCACAAGGGGGCAGTTTGTGATACATGTAATTATCTTTCAACACATATTTTAAAGTAAATGTTGGTCAAACATGTTTGTGCAGATATCTATATGTACAACTTAGGAGACCGTTGCTTCATCAGAGTATTGAAAAATCTTTTTTTTTTCTTATATTTGATAGCATAGATTAAATTTCAATAAAAGTTTCACCACAGAATAAAAATATCAGGAACAATTTCAGCCTGCAAATTGCACACTCAAAAGCCACATATTATCAGGGTGATTGCAATTCCAAGATAAATTATTTTTTCAATTTAAGGTCAGATGACACATTCCTCAATAATATATATATATATTTATTTTTCCAAGAATTTGTCATTAAAGTATTGCTACTTTAACAAGTTTTCTCACAAAAATAAAGGTTCCTTACCAGACATTTGTGCAAGATAGCAGAGGATGCTACATGTATTTATTACATAACCCCATAAGAATTCACTAACGTTGTCAATAACACATTTTCTGGTGTCTTTATTTACCCAGACATTTTGAAAACAATTTGAAAATCACAGGACAATGAAATTTATCTTTGATTTGTTGTGCGTTAGGAAGAGATACAAAATAGATATTCAAGCAACGTGTCGTCAGACCCTAACAGTGTACACAATTGAATATTTTTAGATTCGGCCATAACCAAGCCTGCAACTGCATCTTTAGGAGTAATCTTGGGTTTCACAGCTTTAGGCGTCATATGTGTCGTCACTGCTGTCGTCACTATTGTCTGCTGTTTATGTCGACCGCGGTTTTGCTCCTGTACGGAAAGAGACAAAAAGGAAGAAAACAAGCATGACAGAGATGGGCATACTAACAGCAGAGTTGTCCCGTTATTATGAAACTTAGATATCTTTAATGGGCTTTCTCTTCTCTGTGAGCATCTTAGCCACATATGACAAGTGATATCCTTGATGTGATTGTCGGAAAATAAATAAAAAAGATGAAAATATCAGTCAAAAATTCTCTGTTTTTAGAGAGGGAGAATTATAAAATCAGAAAATAGTAAATTTAATCTTCGATAGTAAATTTTGTGTAAAAATGTTTTTGGAAAACTTAATTGGCACCACAGTTTAACACAGTAAAAGATCTAAAGAAGTATAACTTATAAAAACGAATTAACTGAGAAATAAGGATATGTTGCCAAAAACTGAAAGCAAGAGAAATAGGATGATCAGGGATCAACAAAACTTGGGCCCTATTTGCCAAGATTACAGAAATAATTAGAAATAAGTGATTTCCGTAATCTTGGCATATAGGGCCTGAATTACTGTTACTTTTCTGTACAGGTCAGGTTAGAAGACTAAATACGAAACTTCATATATATTTTCACACACACACACACACAGATATATATATATATATATATATATATATATATATATATATATATATATATATATATATATATATATATATATATATATATATATATTCTAGCATGCGTATTCCAGTAAAGAAGACTAACGTATTTGCTAGCGCTAGAGAGCGCTAGCAAATTTTAGATGTTGCCAATCACATACATTTTAACTTGCACGTAGTACAGAAGAGAATATTCCTGAAGTAACCGGTTAGCCAACACCTGGTAAATAACAATCGTTTACAATGGGTAAGGGCACTTGGATTTTTGAATGTTTTTAATCACATGAATTGAGCGCATTGAGATACAATGTTCTCTTTTTACATATAAGTAGATTTTAATAAAATACAATGACCAGTCGAGAGAGAAAAATATAGCAACTTGCGCTCATGTTTTTTAAGATCTTTGTAAAGTAGTCGGGACTATAAATGAATAGGAATTGGATGTGAACATTATACCCCTTACCTGAAATTAAGTTATATATCTTACCTATGTTTATATTTTCAGAAAAAGTGGTATTCCACGAAGGTACATATATGAAAGATTAAGTATATGCAAAAATTTGTGTAGTATTTCTATATTTATTTTATTTTTTGCGAATTTACGGTGGGACCTTTTTGCACATCATCCTTTGGCATCTTTTGATTGGTCATCCACAATATTACTTTGTTATAATTCGTTCTGATTATAAACACAAGTTAGTATTAAAAATAATCTGGAGTTCCTCATTGGATATCTATGTACACTGTGTATATGTGTAGTCCTTGGAAGCCAGGCCTTTCAGCAATCTATTGAAATTCCTATGGGATGTAATTGCGCCTTTAATTAGCAGACCTATCTCTGTATTTCTATGAAGCAGAATTTATTCTAGGAAACTTTTTTATTTAAAAAAAGTCTTGATTTGGTCTTCAATTCGACATTCAGATATAACGATGACGTGTTATTAATAAACAATCTTAATCGCCATTCATACATTGTTTCGATATATAATAAAAGAACCACATAGTCGTACAAGTCTACTTATATTTTAATGTTTTCCTAGAGAAAGACATCGATGAAGAAAAATTACAATTAAACTTCTATTGTCAACTTCCCTAAATTATGTAGCAATAAAGGATTATCACCTGGATATAGTGTTTATGTTTCCCCAATTGATTCGATACGCAAGAGCCTGTCCTCCATACTGACAAATAAACTGATGTTATAAGGGTAAGGACAAACCCGTTCGCAGTCAACACTTCCCAAACTCTATGGTCGATATTGATCTTGTTTGCGTTTATCACCTGTCGTTAGGTAGAATACTGTACTGATTACTCTGTTTACCCGACCAAGACAAAGGACTGACGGCGGGAACAGGGGATTCTTACTCCTTCATGGCACCTGATTCCACCTCTGATGTTTTCAGGGGTCCATGTTAGCTATGCTGTCTATATGTAATGTTTAGGTGTGCTTTTATCAACATATTTATCTCTCATGTCGACATAACTAAGTTGCATGTTGACATAAACAAATTGCATGTTGACATAACTAAGTTGCATGTTGACATAAATAAGTTGCATGTTGACATAAATAAGTTGCATGTTAACATACGTAAGTTGCATGTCAACATAAATAACTTGCATGTCGACATAAATAAGTAGCATCTAGCATATTGGAAGTCACATGTGGGCAATTTTTGAGATATTTTAAAGATTTTTTATAATTCTTATTTGATTGCAATTTTCTTGCATGTCAACATAGTTATGTTGCATGTTGACATAACTATCTTGCATGTCGACATGTTTGACAGAAAAATAACTTGCACACAAGGGGCAGAAATATGCCACCATAGAATACATATCAATTTTTTTTTTATTAGATCGATTCTATATTTACTTCACATTCATTGTGTTGAGTAATATAAAATTCGTCTGCTTCATTTTAATATTATGAGCATGTTTTTGAAATGTAGATAACGGCGTGAAATGCGCATTTTATTATATATTTCATTGAAATAGCATCACCTGTTCTTATCAACATTGGTGTATTTGAAATACGATTACAACATAACCACGGAGACGAATCTCAAAAAAATTTCAGAAAGAAAAATTTTAAACGAAAGGATTTAGCTGACAAATTTTCAGCTTATGTTTTCAGACAGACAGTAAACCCGCGATCTACCTTAAGACTAAGAATGTGAGATTTGTTTGCCTTTTCAGTGCACTGTCTTTGTCTTTCGGATGCATGACAACTTGATCCCCGCTTTTTAATATAGCAGACTTTTTCAAATAAAGAATATTTTCTCCTGTATAATAAATTGTGACAGTAGAGATTTAAAAAAAAACAATTATAGGATAAAGTTTTATCAATGAAGAAAATATCCACCTTATATTATGATTGCTATGCCTTTCAAATATAAAATATGCAAACCCCTTTGATTCTTTTTTTCACTGTTTTTGTGGAATTTCATTCAAAGTCAATAATACTTTCAGACTGAGGTTTTAAAACAAAAAGAATCAACAGAAAATCACTCAACCATGACTCTAGCGCGTTCGACGTAAGCACGAGCAGTTTGCCTTAGTAGTATATTGAATTCCTGAATTTCATAAATATCTTCATAAATAGAGATAAATTGCCGAGTCCAACAAATGCTCTACCAAGCCCGTATCTTTACTCCTAAGAAAAGAAGAAACGTCAGACATACTGTGCCTCAGCATATTCTAAAAGATTCTAAAAGACTACAGCGAACTTCTAGAACATTTAAAATCGCCAAATCGCCAAATTTTTCAAAAGTTAGTGACATCAAAACGTATGACTTTTCTACACTTTATGCAACCATTCTTCACGATCAACGATAAATAAAAACAATATTTTTTGATAAATTGATAACTGCTTCAGAATCTTCAATTAAAATGGGACTCAGAAATATTCGATTCTTATGATTGGTCATCAACAAAATTACTTGTTAAAAATCACTCTGATTCTACACACAAGTACTCTGAAGTTGATATTAAAAGGATGCTGGAGTTCATCATTGACAACAGTTATATAGTCTTCAAACACCAGGTCTTCCTATTCAACAAACTGTTGGAGTACCGGTGGACATTGATTTTGCTCCTTTATCAGTCGACCTGTTTTATACTCCTATAAATCAAAGACAAAACAGAGTCTGCCACATCTTCATATTTGGTTGATTTACCGTTTGTTTGTTTGTATGTTGTTTAACGTCCCTCTCGAGAATTTTTCACTCATATGGAGACGCCACCACTTGCCGGTGGAGAGCTGCAAAATTTGACCTATACTAGTACTCGGCACTTACGGCCATTGAGCAGTGAGGGATCTTTTTCGTGCCGACACCTACTGCGACACGGGACCTCGGTTTATACGGTCTCATCCGAAGGACCGGTCTCCACGTCCCACAGAGGGATTCGAACCCGCGACGTAAGGATCAACTCCTTACGCCGCGACTCTAGAGCAGACGCTCTAACCAATGCGCCACGCGGGCGACTGATTTACCGTGTATAGACGATAAGGGCCAACTAACAACTAAATCGTAAGACAAACGAGATGACCGTCTTTTCCATCGACAATTTTCCTTACTTATCTAGTAATTTCCTGCTATCACCTGCAAATGGTGTTTATATCTTCGTGCTTATTCAATACTCAAGAGCACGCTCCGTGAACGATCAATTTTTAAACTGAGGCAGGCTACTGACAGAATAGTTGATGTTACAGGGATTTCAATTACCTCATGTTACAGGGATTTCAATTACCTCGATCAAAGTCAGTATTTCGTAAATTTTATGGTCAATATAATGATCTTGTCAGCAATATAACCTTTCATTGGGTCATATTTATTTTTGCTGACGTGCTTCATACGATTTTTATACCTTTGCTTTTATACTGAATTTAACTACGGAATATTCCGTCTACCTGATCAATACATAGGACTCACGGCGGGTGTGACAAGCCAAACAGGGATGTTAACTAGTCCTAGGTACCTGATTCCTCCTCTGAAATTGCCAGGGTCCGTGTTTTATGCCCTTTTCACAGATTTGTGTTGTTTAGGTTTTTTCAGAACGACGACTTTTCGTTAACTTCACCTTTTTCATTTGAGCTTCAGGTTGAAAACCATGTAGCTGGAACTTTGGATAAGTTGAACCATATTTACAATCTCCAATTATTCTTAGGTTTCTTTTCCACTATTTAAGGTCTTCTGTCTTCAGCGGAAGACCTTCTTGTTATTCTTAGGTTTCTTTTCCACAGTTTTTATTATTCTTTTTCTTACCGATTTTGTGCACGCGAGTTCTCGGAAACGGCTTGCTCGATTTTCATGAAACTTTCAGGTCTGATAGAACATCAAAAAATCTAGACATATATTTTTGTGTTTTGATGACGTCACTTCCGGTTCCGAGATTTCTGCATTTTAATGAATTTTAGAGGGTTGGTTTGTCCGCGAGTTTTCTCAAAAAAGGCTTAAGAGAGAAGCTTGAGATTTTCAGCGATGACAGAACAATATATGTAGATGTGACAAACGTAATTCATTCTCACCGGAATTGCTGCACGCCGACGCTCGCTATGGCCCGTAAAAAGGCATATCGAGAATTTCAAAATTT